AGGGGTGGGTCCAGGCTTCCCTTGTTCTCTCTCTTGCTCTCTAGTCTTCCACCAAGGATGACGCACCAAGAGACTCCTACAGACACCAGCCCCTCCATCTCAGGGCTCCAAGCCTCCAGAATTGTGACAATAAATTTCTCTTCTTCATGATTTTCCCAGTTTCAGCTACTCTGTTATAACTGTACAAAACAGAGCCAACCCAGTGTAGTTGGACACCCCGGCACTTCTTACAAAGCCTGGGGCACAGGTCCACATTGCTCTGCAATGACTGGAAAGCTGAAGTTTAGAGTTTTCTCCAGATGCAGCAAAGGACTGAGCCTGGCTTGCAGGAAAAATGCAGAAGCTCAAGGGGATCCAGTGTTGGGTATACCCAAAGGCTCAAGACTGTCAGATGTCAAATGATATAATTACACCTTTGAAACTTAGCAGACACCATGGTTACAGGGATTTCACTTATCATAAAAAGTGGCTCAGGGTGAGAACTTTGTCCTGTAACACTGACTGAGGGAAATTAAGGGTGCTGAACTTGGGTCCAAACTCCTGGGTCTGAATACCATAGCTGCCAGAGCCGTGGGCCCATGTATGTCCCCTACTGTCACTTGGCCTTTGTTTCTTCAGTTATAATAGAATTTGCATTGCTATCCTTATAGGGCTATAATAAATATTATACTAGAAAAGACACATTGAAGTACTTCATAAGCTCTACCACCAGTGGCTCTCTGTGAGGCTGATTTTGTAGCACACATTTTGTAGTAGTTACTTTTCATTCACTGAGTAGTTACTTTTCCAGAGGGATGTGCGGTTGTGAAAATGGGAAGGAGACTAGGTTCTCTTGCACCTAGTATGTAGAATACACATATTTTCACCAAAAGGTAGTCATTGTCCTCAGCTCAAACGGTAGCTACATGTAAATTTAGGACATTGTTCAAAATTTCATTAATGGGCTGGGGTATATAGTTCAGTGGCACAGCACCTCTTGGCAAGCACAGGATCCTAAATTCAATTCCCAGTACCAAAAGAAAAAAAAAAGCATTAATTTGTATATTCAGCTACTGAGTGCAGCATCTTACATGGTAAAATAGTTTCAGACCATTAGTATCTTTGAATTATGTACAAAATTACAAATTAAAAACTGCAATACTTTGAAGACTACCATCTTGACAAAGTCATTTTAATACGCTGGAAAGTTAACCTCAAACCTATAAAAAATTGTTAAGTTAATCTAATCAAGCATTATATTTCTAACTATGCTTTGATGTTTCACATTAATCTATATATTTCCTGATACCATCTTTAAAATGCATTTTACTCCTAATTACATTTTTTGTTTGTTTGTTTTGTTTTTCCTAATTACATTCTTTAAAAAATAAAAAAAAAAACTTCAGAGTATAGGTCATTTTTTAAAACCGCCAATGTCATCAAAAGCAAAAGAAACATAGTCACTATTATAATTCTACAAAGCTATTAAAGCTTATCTGTCATCATAAGTCCTATCCATTGGCAGTACTGTACAATACACATTTTTAAAATAGAAAGTCAAAGTAAATTATAAGGTCAAATTTAAATATGGCAGAAAAAGAAATTTCTAAAAACAAAAGCCTTATTGAAATCTTTAATATTTCATTCACTGAGTAGTTACTTTGCATTAACAGAATAAAAGCAGACACTACCTGCTTAACATCATAACTAAGCTACATTCTGCAGGCCTAAAAATAATGTAATTCAAAAGCTCATTTGTATATCTTTTGCATTTTCTAACTGACTCAAAGGATACATGAATTCAAAACAATGCAATAAAGTAAGTGTGTTTCTGGCTGAAGATGATGAGTTCCATTCCAGTGCATGGTTCTGACCTCATCTTTTGGCACTGGTTTGGGAATTTTTCCAAGTATGCGTGTGAGTGTGTGTGTGTGTGTGTTCGCGCTTCCTAAATATTTTGCCTTATTAAGAGTTACCATAATTATCATATCAACATGCTACCCGGGGTGAGGGTAGCTCAGTGGTACAGCACTTTCCTCATATACATGAGGTTCTAGGTTCAATTCCCAAGACCACAAAAAATAATAGCTCTTAAAATGCCACCCAACTTCTCTTCAAAGCTGAATACACTCATTTTTTTTGCCTGAGCACAACCATTAAAAATATTTAAAAACTAACCATGTGCCAAAACTGGAATGAAATTTTTAAAAATCACCCTCAAATAGAGGGATGTTCTATATAAAATAACCATGATGATATCAAATATTTTTACTATTCCACTTTCCAGAGAAGAACTGAACTAATCTCCCATATTTTCATAATACCGGCAACTTTCACATTTCAATAGGATGGAACACAGGAATTATATTCTTTTAAAAGTCCTCAAAAAAAAAAGCTTTTTCACTAGCAAATTTAAAAACATAGAAAAGTTTTAAAAATACAGAAAATTTAATATGCTCCTAATTTCGTCATCATTTATTATTCTGTGCATGGCTTCAGTGTTGATTTACCTTATTTAGTGATGGTGAACCTAACACACGCGTGCCACAGCAGGTTGTTCATATTATTGAAAGCTCTAAGTGGGTCACTGTCTTACACTGTCATCTGTGTCCTCTGGACTGTGACTGGCCCCCAATGGCCCATGCATTATGTGTGTCAAAAGCTTGTCACTGGGGCGGCACTGTCATGAGTTGGAGGTGTCTCTCACAGGTGGACCAGAGTGAGACAGGAAGGAAGGGGGATGCTGTACAGGGGACACGCAAAGGGAACTCCGGGACCCTCGCCCTTGCTCTGACTTTAGTTCTGTGGCCATAACATGAGCCATCCTGCTCCATCACGATTTTCCCACCACAATGTGCTGCTTCACCCCAGTCCCAAGCAAAGGAGTCAATCGGTCACAGACTGTGCTCTCCAAAACCATAAGCCACAATGAAACCTTCTGATATACATTAGTCCTCGTGGGTACTCAAAATACACAAGTAACAAAAAGCTGATTAAGGCATTATCTCATATAAGAAAGCATATAAAACCATAGGAGTAATGGATTAACAAACAATTCCAGTGGCTAAGAAGCATTTAAGATTTACTATGCCCTCATCAAAATGTTTCTCTTGTTTTATCTTTAATGTGAAGAACACATACTTGTATACACTTGTGAAATGTTTATGTAGCTACTCCAATACATTTCCCAGATCTAATTCTCAAAAATAGGGAGTCAAGATTTTCCATCACTGCAGAATTGCATCATTACAGAATTTCAGACTTCTAAGACTGTGTCTGTATACAAAGACCTGTGTGATTCAGAGTGGGTTTTTTTTTTCTCTAAAACTAGATGCCAACAAGCAGAGGCCAAAAGCAGAGCAACTCATTGTGAAAGGGCGGCTTCTACAGCCTGTGCACAGTCACTTAGCTGGAATGTGCAACAGAGTTGCCACTGGAACAATGACACACACACTGCCTCTTTTCCCAGGCTTCTCCTCAAAGGAGTTTGAAAAGAAAATTAACATTAGGTACTTTCAAGTAAACAACATAAAAAGGCTTATGTAAGAGATACAAAATGTATCTCCTTATCCTGCCAGATTTGTCCCTTTCCTCCTGTATCTGTGTGGAAGTTTTCCAAGCTTCCTGTTACCTAAAGCTAAGTCTGTGGACATTAAATAAATCCATGTTTCCCTCTATTAGAAACCACTCACTCGACTGCTGCTAAAACAATGATTTAAAGTCGAACCCATATTATGAAACCAGCATTGGAAACATCATATTTATTTTTAAGAGTGTTTCGCCTAGGGATGCAGCTTGGGAGTACAGCACTCACCAAGTACACACAAGGACCGAGGTTCCAGCCCCAGCACTGCAAAAAACAAATTCTGACTCTAACTTGCTATGAGGGAAATACATCTTGCACCCTAAACAACAGCACTGTGTGCACAGGTGTGTAAACGTGTGCTTGTGTATGTGTGCGTGCAAGCATGCATGTGCATGCCTACTTTTGGACATGCACTAGTGTAGGCACTGGCAATATATGAAACTTCCTTGAGAGGAAGACGAGTGTCCAATTGCAAGGGTGACAAATGACACCTAGAAAGCTATGAAAGCCTCTAGCTTTGGACAGAGCTAGAGGAAGGGGAGAAATTGGCCTGGAGAGGGAGGTCCACTGAGAAGAGCCCTGCAAGAAGATCCAAAGGAGAAAGGAAAAAACTCCCTTTGCCTGGGGAAGAGGCCATGATGGAAACCCTGACTGGCTCAGGCGGAAAGCCAGGCCAGCAGGGAACCACCAGCAGAGGTGGAAGCTCAGGGATCCCAAGCAGAGTCTGTGCTTATCCCGAGCACTAGTGGGCCAGCCCTGGAGGAGCTGAGCGGGCCGGAGGTCACACTGACACCTACAGAAGTTGAATCTGAAAGTGATTAGGCTACCTAATGACTATACCACAATGGAGCTGGGGACACAGGTGTCATCTCACAACTCCTCCCAAGGCCCACAATCCTCACAGGGGCACAGAAGCAGAAGCGAGGTCTCAGCATGGTACTGCATGCCAGTAATCCCAGCACTCAAGTGGCTGAGACAGGAGGATCACTGCAAGTTTAAAGCCACCCTGGGCTATGGGGCCAGAAAAACAAAAAACAAAACAAAACAAAAAAACTATCCAAACATTTTCCAAGTAATATAATACAGCTTTGTTTCACCTAAACACTTTTAAGAACTATTTATCATTCATCCACCAAAGGAATCAAATATGTATTAGCACCAGGATATGACTTTTCACAATGTAAAATCTAAAATCAAGTATGGCTTCGTAATTTTCCTGAAGGAATGAATGAATAAATATTGTTTAACTAATGTTTTTCAAAGCTATTATTTAAATATATTCCCACTACTTGCAGAAATTTTCCCTGCCTGGTTCTCATAACTTGCCGCCAAAGCTCTTAGAAGTTGAGAGCAAGTGGGCAGAGAGGTATTTGTGTACTTCAAATACAGCTTAGAATAAAACTTTGCAGTAAAAATAGCATTTAAACAAAAGCACCTTTTGGTTGGTGATCGGAATGGACAGAAAATAGTTGGGTTGATAATCTTCATGCTTTTTTTTCCTCTTCTTTATTTGCTTGTTCTTGACTGATTCCTTTGCTTTACTCCTCTTTAAGTTCATCTGAGGCACATCAGTAACTAGGGGGAAAAAGCCATCCAACAGTGTGAACATTTCAACAAGGATGATACAGTTAGAAAAGGAAAGAAGCAATACATAAGTGACAATCATTCATAAATGTCATTTCTAAAACTAAAGCAGAGGTTGACAAATATTTCTACAAAGGACATAAATGTTCCAGGATTTGCAGATCATATGGTGTCTCATCCAGCTACACGGCCCCAACAAAACCTAAATGAAGTGGTATAGCTTTGTTTCAATAAAACTTTATTTATAAAGCAGCTACGTAGCCTGCGGGCACAGTGTGCTAACACCTTATCAGAGGTCCAGCTAACAACCATTGTCTCTCACAGGCCACAACTTTTCTAACCCTGGGAAACCCCCATTGACCTAACTTCCTCCTACTAGGCCACACCCTCTAATGGCTCCTCTACCTTTAGGTGACCAAGGCTTCAATATATTGGCTTTGGGGACACACAAGATTCAAACGCTAGCACCTGGGATCAGGTCTAAAGGTATCCAGAGTCAATTTCAAAGCCTTCCCTCTGGCCAAAATTGGATCAATTTGAGCATCAAATTGAGCAACACATTTAGTGGTATAAAGTACATCAATCATGATTACCTGACCAGTTCATAATGATACTAAAAAGAAAAATTAAAATCAGAAAGTCACAGGTCACTTCTGAAGGAGTCCAGGGAACCATTACTCTAAAACTCTGATGACAAAGGGAAGAAAACCAGGCATTTTCTAAGCCTTTTCTTATAATCAAATCATTGTACAAGAAATAAAATAGCTAAGGTAAAGTTCTTCTTTAAATTTCCACCTAATAAATGCAAATAGCAAATACAACTAGCATACTGCCATTTTGAAATGCTTAAAAAAGCAACAGATCAACACAAAGATCAAGAGATGATCCATTGGGTAGGAAGCTGACAGGGGATTTCAATAACAGACACACTGGGACGGTAAGATCCGAAGCCACTGATCAGTCTTAAGATCACAAAAAGGAAGACAAGCAAACACTATACCTATTAATTTCACACTATGGGAAATTCAAGACATTATCTTTGGCTGAGCAAAGTGGCACATGCCTGTAGTTCCAGAGCTTTGGAAGCTGGGGCAGGAGAATCAGAGCTGTAGCCAGGCTGAGCTACATAGTGAGCTCAAGGCCAGCCTGAACTGCATAGTGAAAACCTGTTTCAAACAATCAGAAAAAAGAAAATACTATTTTTGGAGCATTCTTGTCAAAACACCAAACATAATTAAGCCTCCTGATCAAACTACTAGCTTACTAGAAATATGAGGAAAAGAATTATGTTAAATGATCAAAAGAAAAACTTCCATACAACTTGACTTTCTCAACAACAAACACCACACACACACACACACACACATACATGAAAACAGATCTGTACATGAAAACCCATGATACACATCAATCACAGTGTGTATACAATCAAAGCATAATACACACATGGAAATATCACAGTGAAACCCATTAACTTGCACAATTAATCTAAGTCAATATTTTAATATCAATAAAAATAAAGCATTCCAACTGACAAAAACAAAAAGTAAATCCCTGACTATACCCACTTAAAAGAGATTTATCAAGTATGATGCATAGACACTGGTTCCTATCAACTCTAGATTTTTAAAAATCATGACACAATCAGATATTGGATATTTGAGAAGAATAGAAATTACTTATTGGCATAGTAATGAAATTTTAGGTACACTTTCAAAAAACATTTCGCAGCCTGGGGATATAGCTCAGAGGCAGAGGATCTGCCTACCATGCATGAAGCCCTGGGATTGATCCCTAGCACAGCAAAAGATAAACTAAAAATTTCAAAATGATTCCTTACTTTTATTTGTGAGGTGCTGTTGTTGAACCCTGTGCCTTCTGCATATCAGGCAAGCGCTCTGAGCTCTGTTTTATTTTGAGACAGGGTCTCACTAAGTTCCCAGGATGACCTCAGATTTGCCATCCTCCTGTCTCAGCTTCCCAAGTAGCTGGAATTACACGCACGAACCACTATACTCAATGAATTCTCACTTTTTAAAGGACTAAACTAAAGTATTTACAGGTAAAGTAATATCCCTGGAATTTAATTTAAAATAACTCAACAAAGAGCAGGTGATGAGTAGGTAAGGTCACTGTCCTAGTATCTCTACTTACAAATCTACTTGAAAATCCATATAATGAAATATTTTTAAGACAGATGATCTAAGAGTCTCTTCGTGTTCTGATTTCCTGTGATACAGGGGAAAGATACTGTTAACATTTGCATTAATCAGATGTTTTAGGATGAAACTAAAGAAAAAAGGATTTAAAGAGAATCCTAAAAATATAATCCTTTTTTTTTTTCAAACTGCAGGCACCAACTTGTAAGAAGGTAATGAAATCAATTTAGGAAATAACAAAGGGCCCTTTTTAAAAACTGAAATGGAATGGTCTAACTCACATAGACAATACATTACTTCCTACTGTGTGTGTACATCACTCACAGGAAGTGTAAGTGCTGCTTAGTGAAACCTACAGTTCCATTTTTTTGTACACACGAGTATGGACCAGCAAAGTAAAATGCATTCCTTGCTGAGAACATAAGATATATTCATTTTTATTGTATTTTACTCAGATTTTATTAAGAGCAATACTAAAGATCAGACTTAAAAGATCATTGGCACTTTTAACATTTTAAGTGGTTTTATATCTTATTTGTTTTACACCTAGCTTCCTGTCTGTAGCAACTCTCTTTTTGAACACTGCAAAATCTATTTTACAGAAATCAGAGAGCGATAAACACATGCTCTTGGCATCATGGTTGAAGTCATGGTCTCAGACCTCTATCAACTTTAGTACCATCAAAAGAGTTACTTCAAAATTCCGATTCAGAATACAACTTGCTGGCAAAAATTAAGTAGTACAAGGTGAGTCTAAATCTTTGTAGTATTCAATCTTATCACTAACAATTTAACTCTGAAGCAAACAATCTAAAATTTTATTTTGTTAGGCCTCACAGCTGGCACAAACATTAAAATGATCGAAGAGCTGGTTTTCTCAAAAAAAATCCTAATAGTAGTTATTGGTCTAGTGCAGCTTTTTGTTGATTCAGTGACTCCTGTTGATTTTGTGGTAAACCTGTTTCACCTGAGCCTAAGATCACTTTTTTCCCGTTTGCTTGAAGTGTCTTTTTCTTTTTATTTGTAAAGGTTATTTGTGTATCACAGTATCAAATGCTTTTCCTCACTAGATGTTTTATTTCCAACCTTGACATCACCACTTTTGAACCTACATTCTAGAGATAATTTACTATTTTTTTAAACTTTCACAGGAAAATATCCAGAGCAAAAATAATACTCATGAAATAACCCAGTTTACTGATAAAAATATTAAACATCAGTGACTGTAGAAATAAAACTGGGGCCATGTGCCCCTAATCCTTCACTGCACTGTTCAGAGTAACTTTATGGCTGGCCAGAGTCAGGTGGAAAGCATGGCTCACCGATTCATGGTAGAAATTTTATTTACTCCACCTGTAAATCTCCATAGACGTTTCAGGAGCCAATTCCGCATGCTTCAATGAAGCCGGTCATGTTAACAAAGGCTGGAATGCCCTGGTCCCTGCATTTGTCTTAGTAACTAAAGTACCCCGTGTCACTTTATATAAATGACCCATTTTCCACAAGTTCTATTTAGTCCCTCAAAAACTAGGAAGCAGCCAATTGTGAGAGAAATTAATTTAATTAAGTAGTCAATCTGTTATTGTGGGTTGGCTATTTTCATCCCCTTCATTAAACGCATGCATTACATTTTGATTTTATATTTTTCCTTTTTCCTTGTATTTTAAAAAGTAATCATCCCTAAAACTCTTTAATCATATAACTTAGAGTATATCTTCTATATTTCACAGAATTATTCTTCCTTACTATGTAGATAATCTTTGGCAAAGTACTAAACATTCTAAAACTAAATTTTACCTCCCTCATTTGGTTCCTACGGAGATTAAGTGAGAAAATATAAAGTACTCAGCACTGACCAAAAGCACTCAACAGTATAAGATACTGTTCTTCACGAAGCCAAGCATGGTGGCCCACACCTATAACCCCAGCACCTCAGAAAGCTGAGACAGGACATGACTTCAAGGTCAGCCTGGACTGCATGATGAGACCTTGTTTCAAAAACACATAAAAAGCAGAGGAGATAGGTACAATCAAAATATATTATATGCAATGAAATTCAGTACTGGATAAAGTCAATAGGCACTAATAAGAAAAGAAAAATAAATAAATCCCAAGCCTCGTCATTTGATGTTTTCTATAAAATACTGTGCTCCAGTTTCTGGGGAAAATGAATTTGTTGCATTTAAGACAAAGTGTTATCTTTACAAAGAATTTTTATAACTCAATCAATGAACTGGATAAAGAGCATGAAAACATAAGTGATCATTAACATGAAGAATACCCAATTTCAGTACCAATCAAATAAATAAAAATTAAAACAACATGCAAATTAAAAATAAATAATCAATTGCTCTTAAGGGGAAAATTATTACATCTAGCAAATATATTTAGGAAAAAATTTGGTAAAACTAAGTCAATGAAAAGTTCCTGAGACTATACATTAACCGTTAAGGATTTAGAAGCACTAGAAACTGAATCTTTCCCATAATCCTATGCAACAGCTCCCAATATTAACAAATAACGAATAAAATTAAGCCTGGAAAAAGGATACAAAAAAAACTATAGGAGGAAATGCTGGACCTTGACAATCTGACTCCACAGTACTCACATTTTGTTTTGTTTTGGTTTGGTTTTTGAGACGGAGTCTCACTATCCCAAGCTGGCCTCAAACTCCTGGTAGTCCGCCTGCCTCAGCCTCCCAAATGCTGGAATTACAGGCATGCACTAAGGTGCCTGTCCCTCGGTATTTACTTCTACCCACCACAGGGTAGCTGTCCCTGGAAGGAGAGCAACGAAGAGAAGCACGTCTACCCACATCTACATCAACTGATTCAAAAAAACCCAACTCTTTCAAAGTAAATCTTTAACCACACTTAAAATTTTTAATTACACTTTTTCATAAAAATAATAAAGCACATTCACAGAATTTGAGAAAGGAAAAAAATTACTCACAAACCTGCTCCTTAGCATAATCATTATAAATTTTGATGAGACATCTCATAAAATATTTAGACACCATGCACTACACTCAACATTTTGGCCTGCTTTTTCATTTTTGCTTCATGCAGATAGGGAGAGGCAGACAGACAGACAGGCAGATATAACACTGATTTCAGAAATACAATTTGTGAAAATATTAATAATATTATGATTCTTAATCATAAAGAATTGTATGATACGTAAATTTAGAGACACTAAAATAGCTGAAGGAGTCAGGCAGCCCCTAAATTTTGGACATCTGCATTTTCCCCAATATTTCACAGTCCTCTTTTAAACACTGTGTCAAGCCAAGCCCACAACTGGCTTGGGAAGGTAAAGAAGGGTGACAACACGCGGGTCAGGCTGGGAACTCAGCAGGACTGTGTATCAAAATAAAACTTAACATGTGGGAGATATGTATTACGATTCAATTTTTGATATGGTATATTTTTGCCAAAATTTTTTAAAATTTTAATTGTATTTTAAAACATTTAAGGTGCTGATTTTTAAATATATATTAATACGTTTAGCTAATACAAAAGTAACAAAATGATAATACCTAATATTTCAAAAATCTCCAATTATGATTGCAAGGCTTCATTCGGACCTGACTCTGCTAGTACCTGGCCTGTCGCCAGCAAAAGCACTGTTCCCAGCTCAACACCAGTGCTCTCGGCAAACACAGGATGTCTTAAAAGAGATGAGATGGAACACGGAATCTTACAAGCACATGCACATCTAAAGACACCCAAGCATTCACACTACACGTCTCAAGGACTTTGCCCACTAGGCACAAGTGTGCAGAGAACTCTGACCACTGATGCTCACTAAGATCTTCCCACCTAATGCCCCTTGCCTTCTTCCCAGTCCTAGAAAAAAGCCCACTTCCTTTGCCCTCCAGATGGGCTTTTTGCCCTCTGTCTGCCTGCACCCAGGCACAATAAATGCCACGCTGTGTTGCCTTTCCGCAGACCTGGACATCTTGCCTGGTCTCTGCCTCATGCTGTTCCTTACAAGATTAGAATTCTGGGTAAAATAAAAATTAAACATTTTAATAAAAAGAGAACTGAATTCCATGTTTTAGAAAGACATGACTGTAAACAATTCTCAGATTCTTTCTTTTGAATCTTAAATGTGGCTGAAGGGCTAAGCACAGTGATTCTCTTTATTTGGGGAGGTTGCTTGTTTGAGACAGGGTCTCGCTCTGTAGCCCACACTGGTCTGGAACTCACAGTGATCCTCTTGGCTCAGCCTCCAGAGTGCCAGGATTATAGGTGTGTGCCATCACACGTGGCCATACAGTGGGTCTCTGAAAAGACTGGAGACTGCAGTCAGCCAGGTATGTGGCACACTCTAAAACACTAGAGTACAGTAATCCAAGCACTCAAGAGGCTGAGGCAGGAGGATCACATCAAGTTCAAGGCAGCCTGGGCTACACAGTAAGTCCAAGACCAGCCTGAAGTACATTATAAGACAGAGACAGAGACAGACAGAGAGAGAGAGAGAGAGACAGACAGACAGACAGACAGACACAGAGAGAGAGAGAGAGAGAGAGAGAGAGAGAGAGAGAATTACAATCAATTACACTAAGCTGTGCACAGATCCGGGTGCGAGAGGCTGTCCGAGCTCTTCCCTCAGCAGGGAACGACCCCAGCACACACGCTTCTGCACCTCCTACCCAGTACTTATTAACAGCAGCAGCACTTTCTGGACGCTGTACTGCAGTGACCTGCAGTGCTTTCCTGATAAAGAGACCCAGAAAGCACAGTGGCACACATCAGTAATCAAGCACTCAGGGAGGCTGGGGAAGGACAACTGCAAATTCAAGCTCAGCCTGGCAATTCAACCAGCCTCTAAGTTTTAAACTGTTTTTTCAGCACTGGAGATTGAACCAAGTGCCTCTGCACTAAGCTGCATCCCTCCCCTTTCTGCATTTTTCTTAAATTTGTCTCGGCTGGCCTCCAACTTGTCACAATCCCACTGGACTAAAACCTAGTTAGCAGTTTCTTCTTTGTAAAAATTTTACTATTTGTTTCTCAGAGTTATGAAAAAAGCCATTATTAAAAAGAAAAAAGATCATCAGATGTCCCCAAAGAACAAAGGGACATGTTTCAAAGCTCCTGTAAGTAACAGTTACACAGGGGTCACTTGGGTGAGAAGCATGAGTCAGAAGCCCAGCACCTGGAGAGGTTTCGCCTCCTGACTCAGCCTAACTCAAGGCTGGGGAAGAAGTGCACGTGGGCAGCACAGCCAAGGCCCACACGCACCCTGACCACTCCTCATAGTTCCGTCGTCTGCCCAGACCAGGGGACACCAGAACCAGAAAGAAGTGATGTAACTGTTCAGATACACAGTCCTCGTGGTATTTGCACAAGAAGTACAGAATTAGGAGAACAACTCTCAGGCCTTGCTACTTAATGAGAGCACGAGGTCTTCAAATCAAAGTCCCCAACAGCTGTGAAAACCCTGTGCTTCTCCAGGGCTGGCTGGAAAGGAGAAGAGGGAATCACACGTTCTGGCTGACACACACACGTCACTCGTGTTCCCGAGTGGGAAAGACTAAATCCCAAAATGCCAGAGATAGTACGTACTCCTCTTCCCTTGGCAACCCGTAACTGGAACCAGAAGGCTGAGCAACACAGAGCCATGTGCTCTCCAAGAGGGACTGAGCATCAGAATCACACGGGATGTTTCAAAACGCACAACTCTGATGCCAGGCATGGCAGTGCACCTGTAATCCCAGCACACCGGAGGCTGAGGCAGGCGGATGGTGTGAGCTCAAGGCCAGCCTGAGTGGCCTTTGTCATATGCAACTACTGCTGTTGATGTCCTGGCTCCACAGTGATGATGGGAGCTTCATGAAGGTCCAGATTGTCATGTGTTTCAATATCCTCAGTATCTAATACTACCCCTGATGGCATCCAATACATGGTTGTCAAAAAAATGAGTAACCAATCCAAAGGCATAGGTTTCTCTAACTAGTTCTTTTCAACTTTGTGAATTTACGTAACTTCTCTAAGACTTGGTTTGCTCAAAATATAGACTGACCTAGACAGAATCTCATTAAAAAAAAAAAAACATAGAAATCCCCCCTTAATTACAGGGAGTCCATTCCAAAACCCCCAAGGGACCCCCTAGATGGTGCTGAACCTACAGAGTCTGAGTTTCTCCCTCCACGTATCTCAGTTACCATCCTCCTTCCCGAGACGGAATACCCAACACTCAGCGTTAAAGGAGGAAATGTTTATTTGCCTTACGGTTCCTAGAGGTTACAGTCCATTGTCAGCTGGCTCCAAGGTAGGGTGGCACATGACAGAGAAACAGGTCATGGCGGCCAGAGGTAGCAAAGTAACAAGCACCTGAAGAGGGTCTTTCTGCCCCCTTTATCTTATCCGGGTTACTTAGGACAGGGAGCACACACACCTTTAATCCAAGTGCCCTTGATCCTAGCATGGCACCAGGAATAAATTCCAGCTTCACGCTCTAGATCCAGCTGAAAAGACCCAGCTATGACCCCATGAGGCTTTGAGGGGACATCTAGACACAAGCCGTACCAATATGCATACTCACAATAAGGTTCACTGCATAAGTCAGGGGCAGATGGGGAGGAGACCAGGGAAGTGACAAGACAAGAGGAGGAGGAGGGGAGTAAAATGGTCAAGATGCAGTAAGTATTTGGCCAGTTCCCCGAGTCAACTGTGATGCTTACGTATTCCAAACATACATAAGCACTACATATAAAAGTTTCAGGATTTATAAGAGTTCTACATCCACTGTTATATTAACGAATTAAACATGAAGATACAAAATAATTCAGGCACAGTAAGAAACTGCAATGATGACAACACAGAATAATTATAAATAGAACAAAGTGGGCCATCGTTAAGTAAACAAGGGGGTTCGTCCAACACAAGCTCCGCAGTACCATCACCATCCATCTAGCTGGCCCCAAGGGACCAGGGACGGAAGGAAGTTGCAGCAAGCTCCGGGTAAGTAAAGAGGCTCAAGGGACTGCAGACAGCCACGTTGAATGCACATGTATTTACGGTATCGATGCCTTTATTTTCCTATTTACAAGCAACCTGGATAATAGGCAAGTTAGTGGGGGTCACTCCAAACATCACACAAGAAACAGTTTTTATAATGACGTGATGTTCAAGGTTAGGCATTTATGTAGTTCCAACAGGATTTCAAGCAAACAAGTGTTTCTCTAAAGTTTGAGGACAGAGCCTCCAAGGATTTGGTTGGATCATTAAGTGCATGTTAGGTACAAGTTTAGCTGCTCTTAACACTGGCCTATAGCGCCCCAAGAGGAAGGGAAAGCACCTATCATGGTCCCCCAGGGATCCACTCACCAGCAAGGCACCCACAGATCTCCAACAGCCAGTCAACACTCTTATACAGGCAGCTACTGCTGAAATTAGCAGCGGCTCGGAAGAAGTGAAGGCAAGTGTGATGGGCCGTGACCTGATCAGCCCACTATGTTCAGGCCCAGCCCACAGAACGACCTGGCCCAAATTCCGCTAAACACAACTTAATCCTATCTGCAATAGCTCTAATGACACAGGATCAACGGATATGCTGAATACTAACAACCTAAGCTCAAAAACATGGCATGTATTTAAACTAAAATAATTTATTAAGGAAACTACAATTTACTACTCGTGGCTTGTGAATACTTACTTAATGAAGCACTTACCTTCATAAGCATCTTCAATATCTATAGTGGCGAATGGCAGGCTGATGAGAGAATCCACAGCACTGGCAGTAGAGGTCTCTGTCACTTCCTCCCCTCCGGATGCACTGTCACACATGCTGGAACTCAGTAGCCCTTTAACACAGCCAGAAAGGAAACACGCATCCTTAACTTGCTATTCTTGAAAATTCATATCCAAAACCAAAACAGTTCAGCTCACCAGATTCTACCTCAGCATCTAGCAGAAAGCATTCTTCCATAGTTATGTAAGCAGTAAGCAGTCCTTATACCATTTCCTAAGTGGATTTCCTAAGTGCATTTCTATGTTAACCAACAAGTTTCTAAAACTTGAGTCATATTCCTAACATACAGCAACTCGAAGTTAACTGCAGGCAGAGTCAGTCAACAATCCTTGGCATTTTTTTTTTTTTACAGTTAGTGTTCCTTCATTCTAAAACTACCGTTTTTTTTCTGGACGTGGTGGTGCACACCTGTAGTCCCAACACTCAAGAGGCTGAGGCAGAAGGACTGCAGCAAGTTTGAGGCAAGCCTGGGCTACACAGCAAGACCCTGCATGAAAAAAACAAAACTAACTAAATAAAACTGCATTTTTGACATATCTTTTGAAAATGAACAAACGAGGTTTAATCTTTTTGGTTTATTCTTAATAATATTTTAATATTATTTAATAATATATTTATAATAATATATTTAGTAATATATTTTAATATTACTTATGCATCTCATTTGTTGATTTTTCTCCATAATGACTTTTAAGTTGTTTTTCTCCCTCCTTACATGTAACAGTGAGAATTCAGTTAAATATGGTATACACGGCTCTAACTGTCCATTTCTGGGAATTCAGTGTAAGAATCAAAAGGCCTTACACTTTCTGTAACAGGTCTCCCACGGTCACACGCTAATGTGAATTCACTGTGCACAGTTGGTCCCTGCTTTGTTAGGGGTGGGAAAAATCACATCTTGGGAACCAAGTAAACCACCAAAGAGCTCACTGCTAAGTGGATCGGTCGGCAGCCTCCACTGACAGATGCAAGTGTCACCTGACTCAGGCTGATCAGGTTCCTCAGGTATTTATGTGATTTTTACTCCATCTATTCACTAAAAACTAACCTATTTCTAAGCTATTAGAGAAATCACTGGTTTCCTTTTGGTGTAGTTCTCTATTTTTGAATGCAACACCTGAAAAACACATTCCATTAAGAAAATGGCTCACAGCATACACTACCGTAACTATCGAATGAGGTCACATTTAACATGTGTGCCAAAAATGTGAATGTTACTGCAGTTTGAGTCATCTCTACTGTTAACATACACACTTGTCTTCTGGATAAAAGGAAAGAGCAGTAGCAAAACTTTTTTTAAAATCAATCAAGTTCAACGTTAAAATAATAATCCATTCTTAATGGTTTTTTAGTTTTGTTTTGTTTTGAGACAGGGTCTTGTTATGCAGTTGAGACCGGCCTCGAACTCATGGTGATTCTCCTGCCTCAGCCTCAAGACTGCTGGGATTACAGGTGTGTGTCACCACGCCCAGGGTTTATTTCATTTTTTTTTTTGTACCAGGAATGGAACTCAAGATTTCGTGCTTGCCAGGCAGGAGCTTATACCACTGAGCTGGGCAAAATAAAGTGGCCCATTTAACAGAGTCACATATTCTCAATACTGGCCTAAGTGGTCAATGCTAGCTCTGTAATCCCTGCATCACTTGAAACTACAGTTCGTGCATGGCTCACGATAGTTGAATTTAGGTCTTTTCAGCCTTGCAAAGCAACAAAAGCAACGTGCATCCAGCAGAAACCACATTTGGGATTTTGAATTCTGACTTTTTTCTGGGTGGGCGAGAGTAAATGAGAGGCAGAGCCATCCCATAGTTATCCATCCGCAACCCACAGCTTTCAGGCAGGGAAGAGCTAAAGGAAATCCCAGCACTCTGGGAGGCCGGCGCTACACTGTGAGTTCAAGGGCAGCCAAAACTAAGTCTCCAAAAACCAACCAACCCAAAGCGTCTCCCTCTTCTCTTCAGCAAATCCCCGCTGCTCACATTATAAATGCAGCTCCGAAAGGTACACCACCCCACGGGCCCCCGCCTCCCGCTTGCCTGACCACTGCAAACCTCCTCGCCCTAGGTAACGCCTATGGCCTGGCCCCTTTCAACGTCCTTTCGCCTCCCCGGTGTTAAAGCGTGAGACTCCCGCAGGAGAGCTGCGTTCCTAATGCGCCCTGGGCCCCTGCGCCAGCGCCAGCCCGGAATCCAGGACCCACACAGCTCAGCGGGAGCCAGATCCGGGGCGGTCACTCCCGACCCCGCGAGAAGTCCCGCAGGAGCGGGACGCGGGCCCGAGGGCGACAGCGGTCCTAGGAACAAAGGCGGACATTTCTGAGGGTGCTTCCCCACCCACAGCATGGGGCGCGGGCTGCCCGGGGACTGCGCGCAGGGTCAGGGCTCGGGAAGGAAACGAAAGTGAAACCCGAGGCGGGGGGTGGGGCGCCCCACTGAGGCCGGGCACCCGCGAAGCGCATCCCCGCGAGCAGCACCGGGCGCCCGCCGGGCTCCGCACCGAGGCCTCACGCGCGCGGCCCCGCCACCCGGCCCAGCCGCTCACCCGCTCCGGGGCGCTGCACGGCGGCGGCGCGGCGCGGGCACGCGGGCCGGGGGCCGGGCGCGGCGGGGGCGAGGGCGCGCCCAGGGGCGGAGGCGCGGAGACCCCCCAGCCTCAGCCCTGCGAGCAGCCGCGGCGCGCACAGACCCAGCATGGCCAGCCGCGCGCCGGAAGGGGTCGAGCGCGTCCCCGCCCCGCCCCGGGAGCGCGCCACTTCGGCCTCGCGCGCCACCTTCCGGGCCTGCCCCGACAGACGCGGAGGCCCTGGGCCTGGGTCCCCGAGCGCCAGGGCTTTAACTTTGACACAAAGCTTTGAAGCACACACGCACTGTTCTGACTGCAGACTGTGGGCAGAGGAAGAGGGGCCTGTATATGAATTAGGAGCTGTTTCACCAGCTTTCCTTTAAAACAGCTTTGGAGCAAAATCTGGAATTTTAATAATAGTTTGAGAGATAGAAATGAAATGGAACTCAACTACTGAGTCCTGCAGAATAAGATACAGATATGGGTAAAATGTGGGGGGAAAAAAAGCGATTTACTTAGCGTATCATCAGTCAGTGCTTAGTAAAGATATAGACTCAGTAAAGATATACAGATATTTCAGAATTTACAAGATTGGCTTACAGTGGCCTCCTGGTCAGGCAGGGAAGAGCGAAAAATGGGTGCGGGATCCAGGCGCAGGCCTGCAGCTCCGGTAGGGTCCCCTGCAAGTCCTAGCTGGAGGCCAGGGGTCTGCTGAAGACCAAGAGGACATCCAAGGAGAAGGGCAAGGCTTGGAGCCTCCAGAACACACTAACAACCCTTCCTCTCTGCCTTTTATACCACTCTGAGACAATCCTCCCTAGGGCGGGTCTTCTGCACCCTGACCTATGCTGAGCCAGTGTACTTGGGCGGTTCCCACTCAAAGGTCAGTTAAGTATCACTTTCTTCTTTTAAAAATAGAAAATAAAACTCCTTATGCTACCATTATTTGTTTGTTTTTGTTTTTAATGCAAACAAACCCAAAACAAGCAAAATAATGCCTGCAATCCCAGAACTCTGATGCAATGAGGCTAGACCACCACAAATTCAAACCTACCTGGGGAATTTAGCAACCCACCAAGACCCTGTCTCAAAATAACATAATCAGCCACAACAATAACCAGTTAAATAGCTCAGTAGAAAGGCCCTGGATTCAATTCTCAGACCTCAAGGCTTGAAACAAACAGACAAGAGGATGATGGCACATGCCTGTAATTCTAGTGCTCTGGGAATGTAAAGCAGATAGGATCACGAATTCCACTCAGCTTGGCGATTTAATAATTTATCAAGATCTGTCTCTAAATTAATATATGACTGGGGATGTAGCTCGGTGGGAAGGTTCTGGGTTCGAGCTTCAGTTCTACAGGAGGGAGAAGATGGGGAACAAAGAGGAGAGGGAGCTCGTTTTGCGGGGGTCTCATTTCCACAGCCATAGCATTGATAAGCTGCTAATGAAGTATAAAAGGGTCTTCTACCTCATATTTTAATTCCTGAGCTCCCTACTGATATTGTGCAGGTTAAGATAGGCTTTTTTCTTAAGGAAAAGATCATCTAAAAGAAACTTAAGTAACTGGAATACACGATAAAAGTTGCAAAATTGTCCCATGTTGCTGAGATGCAATACCCAATACCCTCAATTTAAAGGATGAGAGGTTTAGTTTAGCAGAGCAAAGCTACTTAGTTTATGGTGGCCAGGAAGCAGCTGGGGGAACAGTGTCAAGAGAAGGGGTGGGAGAACCCAAGGGCCCACCCCAGTGACCCACCTAGACACACCCGGAGGTGTGCTTTACTAATCCCTTAGATGGCTTCCAGGACAATCAAGTTAGGACCGTGGAGAAGAGGGGCAGCCCATGTGTGGTAGTACACACCTGCAAAGCAGCACTCTGGGAGGCTGTAGCAAGAGGATTGCAAATGCAAGCCCACCCTGGAAAATTTACTGACTTAGCATCACCTCATCTGGAAATAAAAAAATAAAAAAGAACTGAGGCTGTAGCTCAGTAGGAAGACCCCAGAGTTATTATTACTATGCAAATAACAATAATAATGGGGAGGGGGAGCCTGTGGCTCTAAGTGACACCAGAGTATCACCCCAAAACATACTCTTTCCAAAAGTGTTTGCACTTGGCTTGGTGTGAGGGTAGGATATATAAAACCTGAAGCTGCTAAGGCTGTAAAACGTAAGGTCCCTTTACCAGAAATGCATGAGGCTAAGAGAACAAGAAAAATAACATGGTAAGGAATGAATCAGGCCAATTTAGCATGTATGACACTCTGTAAATAATTGCCTTAGACACCTCAAAGTCTCAGTGAGTGTTGTTCGTGCGGGAACAGTATGGCAGCTCAAACTCGAACCTTTTTGAACTAGGTGTCTAGGAGATAGCAGGGCTCTGCAGTGAGATTAGAGGAGAAATGGACATGACTAAAGGGGATGGGAGGTGTGCACACCCACTGAGACTTTGAGGAGTCTAAAGCAAGCGACATAAATGCTCTAACCAGCTATTCTTCCTAGTATACCAAGAGTGAGATTGCTTAAGGATCATAGAAAATACTATGGGCTGGTGTCAAATCTACTCACCATAGCCAATCAACAAGCATTAATCCAGGAATTAAAGTCAAACAAGGACGAGAAGGAGAAGGAGGAGGAAAAGGAGATAAAGAAAAGAAAATGAGGGCTGGGGATTTAGCTCAGGGGCATAATTGCCTGCCTTGCAAGCAGGCAGTCGTGAGTTCGATCCCTAGTACCGATAAAAAGGAAAAAAAAAAAAAAGAAAAGAAAATGAGAAAACACTTAAGATGCAACCACAGACATCCAGTTCACCAAAGGCAAACACAGAGGGCAACAAGAAAGGACAATTTGAAAGCCACCTACCTGACCTCTCTGAAGTGGTAACAACAAAACAAATGAATGAAGCTCTAGAAAAAAATCAAATCGGATTTGCACATGGAAGGCAGAGAGAAAAAGGCTACACCAGCAAGCAACCCAGCCTGGAAACCAGCGCCATGCACAGGCCACTGTCAGACCGTCACAGGCAGACTCCAGCCTCTTCCCATGAGTTAGTGCCATCCGTGGAACAGAGAAGAGAGAGAAGGCCATACTAGGAAGTGAGCCCAGTCTGGGAACCGGCGCCAGCTCCTTGTGGTGTGCAGGCTGGCAGACAAAAAGTACCAACCTCACCCACTGCCATAAGCAGCTGGCTTATCAGGAGAAACACAGGCTGTGATGATAGCTATGGAGGTGAAATGCAATTGGATGACTGTGGCGCTTTGGTGTTTCACTAACATTGCAGGTCTAGAGCCAGTAGTCTGATCCCAGGTTCAGAGGATAGCGGTACACAGTGTGGCATCTGGGGGATCTCTTGAGGGTTGCAACCATGGTTGATTCTCTTTGGTGGGGTTTGAAGTCCCATATCATCTCCATTGTTTTGTTGGGTTGGGTTTTATTTTCTTTTCTTTTGTTTTGTTTATTTCAAATCCAGTGACAGGACCAACTGTTTCAAAGACAGCAAGAAATATAACAATTTTAGATTTATTATTGGCTTGTTTTGAAATCCTTTATTGCATTCATTGTTTCATTTTTATTGTTTCTATTCTATTCTGTTCTGCTTGATTTTACTATGTCCTAAGTTATCTGCAGCTATTTTGAAGACATCAATAGGCATTATAATAACTATTATTAATTTTGTAATGATTTAAAGTCCTGTATCTCTTACATTGGTTTGTTTTGATTGGTTTTATTATGTTTTACCCTCTTTAAAATAAAATTTTAAAAATATCAAGTCAGCCTGACCTGGAGACCAGGCCGGTCCCTGCCGACCGGTGAGTGGAGCATCGGTGGCTGGGAATCTCGCCCAGCCTAAGGGAACTTTCTTCCTGACCGGGGGACCAGGCCAGTCCCTGCCAGATCGGTGAGTGGAGCAGTGGCAGCTGTGAATCCCACCTAGTCTGAGGGAACTCTCTTCCTGGCCTGGAGACCAGGCCGAGATTCCCTGCCAGTTCCAGTGAGTGGGGCCACTGCAGGGAATCCCACTCCAGGCTGGCAGAACTCTCTCTCACACCTGGAACAACACTTGAAGCTCCAAAATATGGGAAGATGACAAAACGAAAGACAAATGCAATCTCAAACATCCAGCCCAACTCAAGAAAGCCTAGGAGCCATGTGCATAGAAGAAAACACATGCCACATAACTGAAATACCTGAAATAATAGTAACTGAAATAAAGAAGCAACTCTGGGAAGCCTTAAAGGAATTCAAACTAGAAATAATCTCTCAGGTAAAAGAAGAAATGATAAAAGAAATGAAGCAGATGCTAAACATAGCTAAAGAAGACACAGTTTAAAAATTGGAGGAATTAAACAAAAAGATAGAATCCCTGGATGAACAATATAAGAAACAAACAGAATACATAAAACAGATGCAAAGAGATACACAGGAAATCAAAAACTCCATTGAAAGTTGTAAAAACCACCTTAATGAATGTGAAGATAGAATCTCAGACCTCAAAGACAAGATTGCAGCCAGTGAACAGGAAAGAAAAGATATTTTAAAAATAACAAGAAATCAGGAAATAACAATTCAACACCTGCAAGATGACGCAAAGAAAAACAATGTAGGTTGATAGGAATAAATGAAAAAGAAGGGGACAACATAAAGGATGTCAAGAGGATATATAAAGAAGTAATAGCTGAAAATTTCCCAAACACAAGATTGGAAACTGATATCAAGATCAGTGAAGCATATAGAACTCCAAATAGCCATAACCAAAATAAATCTACACCCAGACATATAATAATGACCATCCCAGAAATCGAACAAAAAACTAGAATATTGAAGGCTGTCAGAGAGAAAAGAGAGATGACCTATAAAGGAAAACCTATCAGAATCACAGCAGACTTCTCAGCACAAACAATAAAGTCAAGAAGAGCATGGAGTGAAGTATTTCATATCCTAAAGGAAAATGATTTCCAACCTAGGCAGATGTACTCGGCAAAACTGTCCCTCAAAATCAATGGAGAAATAAGATACTTCCATGACAAAGATCAGCTGAAAAACTTCATGATCACCAAGCCAACCCTGCAAAGAATACTGAAAGACAGCCTAAATACATTTAGGAAAAAACCACTAAACAAAGCAGACAATTAAACAGAGCAGAAAGATAAACAT